CATAATGGACACCTTTCAGTTTAGGACATCTGTCCTAATGGTGCCATTTACCATCCTTAAATGGAAACAAGACTGGGAGAAACCAGAGCTCAGTAACCCAAACAAAAGTAAAGTATTTAGTCCATTAACTGAAAATCTCACCATTACCTTCTATTACARAGGCTGAATCTTCTTAAAGATATTCCTCCTACTGACGCCCTTTTCTGAAGCTCATGAGGATCTGTAACATGCAAGACTCATTTCTCAGCCCTTCCAAATGTCAGTTACCACAACTTGTCCTGTGCCTGGTAACATTTAATAAAGAGCACCTCCTTGCACTTCATTATCAAGTCAGAAATCTAAAAACCACAGAAATCATCATTCTAGCGAAGGACTAATGCCTTCAGTTGGGAAAAAAAATGTTGACTGTGTCTGACACAGCATGTGAAGACACATTAAACCAGGAATTTCTAGTCTAGTAATTTCAAAAGCTACAACTTACAGAATCATTGTAAAAGAGCAATAATGAACATGTAAATCATGTATATAAAATCGCTCCCTTAGTCCTCATAATAAAATGCTACATTTTATCTATTTTTGTAAATTCAGCAGTCCTGCAGATGACATGGGAAATATGTCCCACGAGATGCAATAAGTACACACAGTAAGAACAAGGACTCAGGACACAATTTTTGCAAATGCACAGTGGGTGACRTTTCTGATGACAGTGGAGCAGTTTAACTACTCAGTCTTAATTATAGCAATATGAATTATTATCAAAATAGTGGCAATACATTAATTATTGTTGTCCGTTCATTTCGAGCACTTACAGAACTACACATCCAGCCTTTTAGGTACGTGAGATTTTGGAACAGGGAAAGGCGATGCATTTCCACAAAAAACCAAAACCAAAACCCAAACAAACAAAACAAATGACATACCCCAGGCATTGGCAAGAGGCAAAAGCAGATCCTGGCWTTAAGAAAACTTCTCAAGTTGTCTGAATTTCTTTTATTTGCTTCTTTCTGCATGGAATTTAGAGGGTTTTAAGGTTTAGGGATGATGTTGTTTCAATCTTGTTTTTCAAGACAGGTAGTACAGCACTGGACGGAATTAATCTCAGTTTAGTACCTAACCTGAGCTAAATCACAGCTTCCACAGTCTCCAGAGAGGCTCTCCAGAACATGATTCATTCTACTTTCCTTAAATGTCTGCCTTAGGAGATTAATAACTCTCTAGAGGTGCCCAGATTCTTTGCCTGAAGTAGATGTCCAACTTTCAGAGAACTAACATTCAGTGAGAGGAATTCTAGTCACTGTGTACCATGATTACCAGATGGTTTTGATAGTTTTGATTGTTTTTCTGGAGTTTTTGTCTGAAACTTGAACCTCCAAGTACATGAGTGATTATAAGGTCCAAAGTCCTAATGAAAACTGTTCTACATGCAGTGCTCACTAATGGACTTAATCCARTGTGTAATTTAAAGAACAGAAACCCCATCCATTTCCATAGAGCTATGTAGCCAGACAGTGCAAAAAATATGAATACAAGTAAGTAAACTATTGAGTTAAAGGCCTGAAGAGTTGAGAAGATGCTTTAAATGGTAAAGTTTTCATACTAATTTTTAAAATTATCCAAGGAATTACATCTTCACTGGAGGCCATCCCACATCAATTTCATACAGACAGTATGGAAGCCACTCTACTTTAAGAACAGATGTAGTTCCGAGCAAAACTCYCTTTTTGGACATGCTAGCTATGTTTTTTTTTTAACATTTATTGCCAAAGTACATCTTTTACAAAACTTCAGAAAGACATATAATCAAACAACAGGATTAAGAAAAAGGAATATCCTTAACAGCAGAATTTATGACTGAGGGACAGTCTGGAGATGGACATGACGACCCAATTCAAGAGTAATTAAATTCCTCCAGGGGAGGAATTGACATCATTCGTTTTGGATTAAATGAAACTAGAATACCAGTTTCCCTCTATACGATTGCTTCACAAGGAGACAGCCCACARTAGTTACTGGACTTTGCATTCACTCTTCATACCCTGTAACATCTTTCACATGTAGACAAAACAAAAGGCACTTTGGCAAAGCAACATTGGAAATCCAGCACATATCCTGTCCAGGCTTTTCCTGCTGCACGGGTGGACAGGAACTCGTTCCCAGGTACATCAAAGCAACAACTGAAAGCAGAACTGCTATGAAACACCTTTTGCTATTACACTCACTTCACAAAAGTAATTCCTACATGAAAAACTTTGAGGGTTGTACACATACGTTTACGTATGCACATCCAAAAAAAATCATAAACACACACGAACATATGTGGGTATATATATATAATTTATGCATACATATGAATGAATGAATAGACACAAGTATTAGAACTAAAGAGACAGAGACCTATTCTTGCTTCTTTGTGACGTACAAGGAAGGTTTAAAAACAGGTTGTGTTCTTACAAATCCCACAAGTATTACAAATGTCAAAACTGGTCTAACTTCGTTTTGCTGGAAGACTTCTAGGACTTATAAGGCCACAGCTAAAAGAGCTTCTTACTCTCTGACTGAAGGCTGAAGTCTACAACCATAGATGGAAGCCATTCCCAGTAACTTCTCAGCTCTTTGAATTAATTGTATGTTGGCAATAGCTACGTTTTAAACAATACAAATAAATAATCAACTTTAATTTATCTTCCAAATGACAATAGAGAATTCCTGAAAAAAACTATTATTTCAAACAGAAGATGCAACATAAGAAAGAAAAAAATCCTTCAGTTTGAACAAAATGTCAATTTAAACCTTCTTTACGCTAYCTAAAAAGCAACAGAGAATGAAATTCTTTACACATACATGACTACGAAAACTCTTATTTGATTCACTGATGAGCAATTAAACTGTATTATCTACCAAGTTTACCAGTTTGAAGGCACAATGGCTATCACTTCATCCACATCCCATTCTATTTACAGTGAAAAACAAACAAAAAGCATCTCTATAGAAAAAAAGGAGATAAACACAGAACAACCCCTGAGAAGTGAAATTTTACAACAAAAACATTTGTTTTGAAACTGTTCTTTGTAAACTCCCATTATCTGAACCTGTGTTCTCCTGTAACTAGAATAATAATGTTCAATACTCTATTACAATGAAAAATATAGATTAAAAAAAGTTGAAAGTCCTCAGAAAAATAAATGAACCTCAACATGATTGAGAGAAATGAGGTCTCACAGAGAATCATACCAAAACTGACATCTTTCAGTGTGGAAAAAAAAAAAGTAAATCAATCTAAAGTTCTCTGACAATGCCCAGATTTCTAAARAATGAAAAAATGGAATGGCATAATCTATGTGGAAATCCCATAGTGCCATCTGTGTAGAGGAAAAAAATCAAAAAGCCAACTATGCATGCCCTTCTTTGGATCTGGAATTCCCCAGAGATTCAGCAAAATTCAAAAATCTGATGAACTAGGTCTTTCAATAAAATCAGATAAATGTTCWGTAGCTGTTTCATGACATGGTTTATAAAGTATTGGCACCAGCACAAAGAGTTCAAAGCAGTCATTCAGGAGTCACAGAGATTGTCAGACTTTTAATGATTTGCAGCAGTCCTCTAGTAGCAATTGGTTATTTACTGCATGAACTGAAGTGTTCTTTGTCACGATCTTCAGTACAATACTGTACTTCTCCCAAAGTATTTTTCTTCTTATTTCAGTAGGTAGTAAGTGCCATCAATACAAGAATAACAGAACCAGTATCAAATGACAGCCTGTATTTTATGGTCCATATTCATCAACAATGGCTAAAGAGGTAAAATTCTAAACCAAACCTGTACATAGTAACATACTCTAGCAGTGCTATTCAAGGAAAAAAAAGGAGAAAAACTTCATCCAAGAAAAGTGCAAAAGGAAGAAACTTCCAGAAATTGTCCATCAACACAGTTTTCCTTCTCCAGAGGCAAGCAGTCTTGAAGAGAGAGTGCAAAAGTATTTTGAGCTAACCTCCTCTTGGAAAAAGCAAAACAAAACAAAAACACCAAACAAAACAAATCCTGTACTACAGTTTGGTTATCATAAAATCATCAAATCATACTGCCCTTGTTTCAAACCCATTGTATTTCCATTATTGTTTTACTGAACAAAGATGTTTGGGTTTACACCTAACGGTAGATTTGATGCCAGTGAAAGGGACAGTCACTAATGCATTACCCAAAGTTATACTTTTCATGGTAGTCTGCATGATAACCAGATATATCACAAATCAAGTCTTGAACATGACAGAAATTTGAAAAAGAAARCTACTCAGGAGTTTTCTACACATTTAGCAGTTACAGCATTAACTGGCTTAAATTTTATCTCAATACCAAGAAGCAGCTGTCAATTTTGTCTTTCATTTCTGCTCTAAGTTCAGCTGRTTCAGGTTCTTGCATTTATCTGTTGTATCACTTAGGCTGGACAGTAAAACATCACTACATCTATTAAAGGTGAAGGAAGGAAGAAAAATGTATCAGATACAATTCATTCCCAAAGTTCAAGACAAAGTGCTTTTTCTGTCTGTTCTTATACACACCTAAACTGGTTTTCAAATAACTAATTATAGGCCAGATCAYAAAATCTAATGCTGCAGGCCAAACTAGAATGCTACAGTACCTGTGTATGTATATACAAATACTTACGTATACATTTATATATACACACACAAACACATGAAAAGGAAGCACCCATATTTTCCTTACTGCTAAATATTGAAGTTCTGCTTTCACCTGGATATTAGCATAGTGTATTGTGTGTAACACCCTGTAAAGGGACACTTACGAAGACATTCATTTGCTTCTCATTAAAGCCAGACATATGGSTAGTATTTAAAAACATGCAGTGCCACCAATTAAGAGTACAATAATTCTTATGTACAATATCAACTTTAAGAAACATAATACATTTAAATGTATTTTACCCAYTTGTGTAGATACATTATAGTTTCCACTATTTCATAGCAGATTTATATTCTCTTTAAAAAGAAAATGAGCACAAATTTACAGGAAAACAACTCTGTCAAACGAGATCCACAGCAGCATATGTAGGGAGTCACTGGGTGAAACTCTTTTTTATGAACACATTAGGAAAGTTGGCATTCAGTTCTAGCACAACTCTATTGTCGATCTGTGAACAGAAGGACACATCAAGTAAAGAAAGATCTTTACAAGACTCCAGCAATTTTCTTAAAGATGCAGGGCTCACCATCCTCGTTCCTGTTCAAAAACAAAACCAAACAAAATTGTAAAGTTACCAAGAATCTTGGAGGGTTTTTAAAGCTGTTAATACTGTGTCATGCAAAAATGCTACAACACAACTTTTATCTCGAGTATTTCTATTAGTTTTCAAATTAGAAGCTTCTCAGAGACCATGCAGAATGTTTACCTTTAAGGAGCCTACTGTATTTTTTAACTACTTAAGTCACCGTCATTTTCTGTTGGGAGGCAACTTTACAACTTCAAGGGGAATCAATCTCTCACTACAGAAGCAAGGTACCCAGAGGTACAAGACCTCCCAATGCTGGGCTTGGGCAGCGACACAGAATGCTGCAGTCATGCTCTCATGACTCTGCTGTTGAGTGCACTGAGCAGCAGCACAGCAGACAAGTGACTGGGGCTACTCCAACTCCAAAGGCATCAGCAAGGCTTCCAGAGCTCTAAGGCACGTGTGGGTACCAGACATATGCAAGGGCAGCTGTTTAAGASACTGGTGATCATACCTACATGTATGTATAAAACACACTATTTAAACCCTGCTAAAAACAAGACCACAGTGAATTCCCACATGTCCCACAGTGTTGGATCAAGCTTAGGATTCAGACAGAAACCAAATAAATAGATGTTTATAAGCTCAAGTCCACACACCCCTTACAGCTGACAGGCATCCAGTCAGTCCAGTCCATGGTGCATAGCACATGATTCAGCTGACTGGCCACTGGGGTGTGACTTAGTGGCCCTTTGGGACCTTACACTCTGTAGGACATCCACACACAGCTGGCAAACAGGACACTGGACCTAGAGGAAGAGATCCATGCCCTAAAGGGAAGGCTGGATGCCTGGCAGGTTGCGCTAGGCAAGTGAACTGAGCCTGGATGTCTACACAGGGCTAAACTGCTCATGAAGTGTTCCCTCTAGAGAGTGTCTATGTCCAACACTACTGCAGAAAACTGCTGGCAGACACTTCAACTCACACAGCTCCATCTTGAGCTAACCAGCACCCCAAAAAGCCATCTAGTTCAGGATCTTGCCTAGGGCCAGGGCCAATAATGTTCCCCACCCTCCTTATCTTCCCTGCAAAAAAAAAGGCAGATTTTTTAAAGAAGCTTTTCACTGGTGCATCTTCCCAACTGCCATGAATTATAATTTTAGGGTTTTCTGGAGCTATCTTTCATGAATTCTACTACTTTTTTGATTTTTTTCGTATTTACAGTCCCTTCGTAAGTTCCACCATTTATCTACATAATGTATAAAAACCCCCAAAAAACTAACAAAAACTCCAGGCTATTAATTGCAATAATTAAGGTGCAATGAAAGAAGCAGTGAAATCATTYCCAGTTCACTGTATATTTAGTTCATGTTATTTTGCCCCATGAAACTACTTCGCACTTGATTCAATGTTTTCTTTTATCACCTGCTTAAGAAGTATCACAAGATCATTCTGCCATTTTTCAGGGCTAAATTCTTCAGTTTAAGGTTCTCCTACCCTGGATACTGGTGTGTGGCCCTCTGGCATTATTCACCYCTCTGCCTGGACTACTTAAGAAGATCAGAAGAGACCCTTGGTGACCACAGTAGTGACATAACTTCACTGTGAAAAGAGAYGATACATTCTGSTCCTCTSTTGTCTCTCAAACACTCATAATCCWGGAGAAGACAGCTAAATTACAAAAGCAGGACAACCTTGGCTAAAGCTTTTGAAARTCCAATCCTCTATGGACTAGAGCAGTGCTCATATTCACCAAGAACTCTAARGAATTCTAAAGGATTGGAGAGGCAAAACTATACTATCATTGCAGCTCCCCTTCAAAATATGGGAATGTCCTCATGGCTGCCACTGGTTTATAAAGAGAAAAAGATGATCTTACTGTTTTACAGGTCTTAACCCAAGCCTTTTACAGAAGGTTATGCCATGCTTGTAAACCTCTAGCACTGAGGCTGATTTAAGAGACAAATCACACACCAGAAATAAGATTTCCACAGTCCTGTATTTGAGCTCATTYAGAATCACTACATAAATACCATTTAGCCCTAACAATTTATTATTGTTCAATGTATTGATTTGTTCAAAAGCTTTCTGTATTGGCATTCCAATTTAAGGCAGCTTTCCAGGCTAATCTCCTGGAAAGAATGGCTCTGATGTAGCAGCCTACTCAAACCCCTCTGCCATGAACACTAATGGACAGACAACAGTTCCCCTACAACAGCCTTGTATCAGGGTGATCCTTAACATCATATCCTTCACATCTGGAATATTTACCAAACTCAGTCACTCCTGCAAAATTCTAACATAGTTGAAATACAGTATCATTCCCCTCTAGCCAATGGTTCCTTAACACTTCATACTGCCTTACTGTGATTTTGTTGCACTYTCTAGAGTTCATCTTYCTATTTTYGTCCTCTGAATGGGATTCAATTTCAGAAAGACTCCAGATGGTTTCAGTAATCTCCAGCATTCTTCTGCATAAGCAAGGGGGTATCTAAATGTGATCTTCAATAATGCTATGTCAGGCTCTCAGATTAGTTGTTTTGAGATATTACTGAACATCATCCAAGGACAGTCTTTGCTATCATGCCCCCAAATTTTACCTCCTCTACAGAGACAAAGCTTGTCGTTATCTCTGTGATTTTTAACTCCCATTTCATTATATAATCACCATCATCAGAACTGTCTGGTGGTTGATGTAACAGTCTCTATGGCTTGACACACCCTTTCTGTAATATGCTTTATTTATTCACTTCATTTGACCAYGAACTTTACCACAGAATCGCTGTTCTACCATAAGGACCCGCTCTACCATTCCAAATGCAACTCTAGGAACAACACATTATGCTACTTATCTTTTTTCCACCAAGCCTTAAAATTGCTACTACATCAGCACCTTCATTTAAACCCAGTCTCATTTATGCATCACAGCTTTTATGCTTCAAGATCCAAACGTGTGTTTCTACAAAAAAGCTAGATTTAGATGCCTAGCCRCAGATTTTTTTGTGTAGGATGTTCTTCATTCCTTCCTACCTGAACTTTGATAGTTCTCCTACCATTTCATCCAAGACTTTTAATAGATTTGCAACTAAGTAGGTCATCCTAAATTGCATGTTTTATTGCACTTGGGTTTTTCCTTCTCAGACTTAAAATTTTATGCTAAAATTTATGCTTCTTCTAAAAGGAATCCAGTTGGGGTTTGGTTATTCACACCACAGGATAAGCAAACATCATCTGTAGCTGTACTTTTATTTATACAATGCACGGTTAGTGATGTATGTATCTTAAAAGCCCATTCAAAAGCATTTCAGAATTTTAATACAGCACATTTTCCTCTACTTTTGAAAGACTGACAACGTGGYCTGCTAGTTAATTACCTATATAGTGTATTTTTCTTCTAGAATTTGTAGGCTTTTGGACCTTTATAATTACTACAACTTCTCCTTCATGGACTAATCAGCAATTTCTCAGAATATATACATACCCAAAACATTAAAATCTGCTATTTATTTTTGTTGTTCAGTTAATTGTCTGAAAAAATTCTCTGGTAYAGCTGCTGTAAAAGACACCTCTACGTAATGATCTCTTTGCTAGAATGATTACTTTTATTAGATGTAAGTAATTTAATTTATACCCATCATATATCCAAGTCTTCAAATTCTGTAGCTGTTAAGGAGACCTGTGCATGACAGCTATAAAAACTGCCAGAACCCAAATTTCTAGGGCAAGAGACACTACTACACACCAAATAATATTTAAGAGTAGCAACCATGCAAACAACTAGCACTCTTCCCTCAAATGTTACTTTTTTTCCTTTCTTCCCCTAGACCAGCCAGATTAGCCGTTTATTCTTTACATCTTATTCAATCTATTGCACACAAATTCAAAATTTTTATGTGCTACACATTTTCATGTTTGAATTGACTAACTACRTGTTGATGTTCTCAAGATAAAGCTGAAAACTTTGACAGCTGGCAAGGGGGCAGTTGGGTTTTCTGTTGCTCAGGAAGGTGTGGGAGGTGTTGGTATGTAGATAGGAATACATGAATTTTGTGATAACGAGGGTGTCTACTTTTCATTACTCTTTTTGTGCAGGACAGAGGCAGTTGGAACTTTTGGGGAGCGAGGTGAGTATGATTTACTCCTCACCCYTGACAGCAGCTGAGAACCCCACAGCAAGAAAACTAAGCAGCTGATGTGACGTGCAAGAAAAGCTTTTGGCACTGTCAATTCAGGTTGCCATCTGACTYGTCACATTGCTCAATGCTGATCACAGTTTGAAGACTCGTTTTTTAACTAGTGGTCTAGAGGTGTCCACTTAACTTTTGATAGCACTGGCTGATGTACTGCATCACTACAGAACTGTCAGATGATCATAACTGGATCATTCTGACAGAGGGTGGAAACATGCCATGTCAGTCAGTGGAAAAGCTGTGGGCTGAGAAGGAAATGATACTTGGAAGCAGGCAGTTCAGGATGTAGTGGGTAAAAGAAAGCTCAGAATTAAAAGTTCAAGAGAAGCACATCCTCGTGCATTCAGTGACACACCACGCTTCCTCTTCCAAATTTATGATACAGCAGATATGGACCAGCCAATGATTTTTTCTGAACAGGAATTTACTTTCTGAAGTATCTCTTATCCAGCACAAACACAGCCTGACATCCAACAATGCTTTACATGGGCCAATAAGTTTAAGGAGCCCTTGAAAACCAGCAATTTTCATCTACAGAGTCCTCTGACTCTGTAATAAGGAAATTGCCAAGCAATTATGGTGAAGGGCAGATGGGTAACAAGCCACAGGACCTATCACCTTAAAATAGCATMCAGGCTATATATAATGTGCATTTTGCACCACTGACAGTTCAACAAGATTTGTTTCAGAGGCTTAGACTCCTCCACCCCTGAAGCTATTGTGATGATAAATAACCTATAACTGACACAAAAAGTTTTCTCTGACAAGTTTGTGAGATCTAACAACTGCAGATAGACACCAGTATAGTATTCTCAACACCGGTAACTACAGTGAAGGGCTGACATTCTGACCCTTACTTACATAWGCAAAAGTTCCCTTACAGCACTGCCAACCTAGCAGCAACACTGCTACACCTTTCACAATGCATACACAAGCCAGACATTTCTGCACTTGGGGGATGACAAAGGATATAATGAGAGCACCTTTCATTCGYTCACATCACAGAGAAGACTCACTGYTCAAGGTTACTCTAACAAAGCTGAGCGCTGACCTCTGACCTCTTACAGCTTCAGATCTGCTGTCACACTTCTACTAAAGGACAAAAACACACTACGCATTTATGTAGCTTAAAGTAACAGGATGGCCCTGTATCACGTGCCTAAAATAAGAGCACATACAGAGATTTACAACYTTCTTGGTACTCCTGCACAGTGAGAGACTCACTCTTTAGTTCAGACAACAGAGACTTCTGCACTTACATGGGAACACCTGGCAACTCTAMCTCCAGATGACATGATGTGGTTCTACTTGACAGCTCTTTCTTTTAACCACAGACCGTAGTGGYTACTATATTCAGACAATAAAATGAAATCAGTTTCCTTGCTGGTRCCCAAAAAGCAGGGTAAATCCTTCACATATATCATATCACCTTGTACTGATTATTTTTACACAACTTTTTTTTCACCCTACCAGGCATTTCTCTGAAAGAAGAAAGTAAGATTTTTTTGTAGTTTATTCATTTTGCASATAATTCAACTGTAGATCCCCTAGAGAAGATTTATCTGAACCCGCAATGCAGTCTCACTGCAAAAGTTTGACTACAGATCCACTGGATTCAGAAATATTGGTAAGCATCCAGGGAACAGAACAAACCTCCTCTTCCACTTTCACATGGTATTTAAAAAAAATCATTAAGATGTCAAACCTAATTAAACATGAATTAAAACACTAAAGAAATGTAGGCAACAAGCCTTCGCTGCTGTCAGAGAGGCAACAGAAGCAACAGACTATCCAAAGGCTTAACATTGCCATACTATTCTTTAGGGAGTCTCTGGTGCAGTAACAAAGTCTGGCCACTTTGTGGGCAGACACAAGATCATTGYAAYGGAGATACATGGAAGTRGGCAGTCAGGAGCACATAAGTGKTTCTGAAAGACTTAATTCCCTACAMCAYTTGGAAATTTYTCATGTCTCAACAGGGCAATGTRCCCCTGATAATTCAGCTACAAAGCAGATTCTATTAAAGATTGGTAAACATGATACCCCTGGCAGGCATATGCATAAAKTCTCTACAACTTATACTAGGTGGAGTTAAGTTTTTATCTGTTCACACTCCCTTCCCATGTTGGTCAGAAGGCAACTTTCTTAGCCACAGATGAGTAAAACTCCTTATCATGATAGAAGAGTGTACCAAAATGCCAGTCTGAAGCCATATGATAAATACTTTGCAATGATAAATGCTGACAGCCTTACACTTGCTTGGAACACTATTMACATCAACAGCTCTCAGTTCTTTGCAGTATTTCTCTCTACCTAGATGCAAGATTTTCATTAAAATTATTAAATATTAGAAGTATGCAGTTACTTTATTCCTTTGCATTTAAAWCTTCCTTTTTCAACTAACCTGTGAAAATAAGTTGGTAAAAGCATGAAGAATTTTCTCCCACATTGATGTCACAAACATCCCTGCTGCCCTACATTATTATAAAAAGAAAACCTCACATGCCACCATAAAGGAATAAATTAGTATCRCACAAAACTACACTTCTCAAAGTCCTTACTCAAGAGTTCAAAGTATATTTACTTTAGATCTCTAAAAATATTTTCAACTATGGAAGCTGCAGAGGTTTAGAAATTTCATATCTACTATGTTTTTTGACCCTCATCCCTTCCTTCTCACCTTACTAGAAAGCCTATTTAAATTTTGCTGTTAATCACCCTTCCATCCTTAATAACTCAAATTCACTTACTGACAAAAGTGTCAAAGAAATTCAGTATTGCATAGTACATATCATATCATATATAACAAATATTTATTGCGCAAAAGCAAAATCTGTTTATTGATCACAGATTCATGCTATAAATATACTTCATCACACTTCACAGAAATAAAACGGCAAACAAAAGCAGAAAGAATGGTAAGAAGTTGGATCTTCTGATAGTCAARAGAGAAAGGCTTCAGTTAACAAAACTAATGGTCATGAAAATAAAAGTTACTGGAAAAAAACTTGCACTTAAATTTCAATTTAAGTAATTCATACTCAGCAGTCAAATTACACAGCTGGTATAAATCCACTGGATTCTGAGTCAGAATTCATGCAGTGAGTAAAACATCCCCCTTTTCTTTCATGTGCTGAACCATAATTTTGAGAAATAATAATTTAAAAATATGTCTAGAATACAGTTTTTGTCTTAAGCACTTTTTAAGTAAACTTTTGAGGCACAGTAAATACCAATATTCCTCMATTCTCTTACCCAATATATCCAGTTGCCTTAAGTGTGTGCAGTTGGCAGCAAGCTCCTCGATGTCTGTGTCACACACAGACCTGTTGGCGGTAAGAAAGAGCTTCTGCAAATTTGGKAGTTTCCGTGCAAGGTTTGTGAAGCAGCCTGTACTGCTCTGTAGTGTAGGGCACCAGCCAAGATCAAGTTCTTCCAAAAGCTGGCAGCCTGAAGCCAATTCTGCAATCCCACTTTCAGTTATGTTTTTACATCTCCACAAATCCAGACTGCGAAGTTTTTTGCATTTTGCTCCCATCATGCTTGCTATAAGGTCATAGTCTTCAATCTGTAAGGAAAGAAAAAACGTGGTCACGTGTAGCATTGTTCCAGACATAGAGAGGTGTTTCAAGATGTGCTTCCTAACACAAATAACAGATTTCTCTTAAGCATTTGACATTCCTAAAGAGCTCTGAAAATTGTTTCTGAAATTTGTATGGTACAGTGAGGTCTACTTTTATAAAAGACAAAATAAAGTAAATTTCCTATAAACCCCAGATATATGTGTTTTTAAATTGCCTTAATACTGAGGATCAAAAAGCAGCAGAAGGTTGTATCTTATTTTTTGCACAATTTTTTTTCCCTTTGAAAGATTACTATAACAGCTTTTATGACCAAAGGAAGTGCAACCACTGAACAATGATTGTAAAATCAAAACAAAGAATGTACTTATTTCTATTTTAGGCTGATCAGTTGCTGCATCTCCTTAAAGTCTTTCAAATTACTTATTAAGTAATTATACATGTAAAGAATGCTAAAAAACTTAGAAAGAGGCTGAAGAACTCTGAGARAGCCTACAAGCTACATTTTAGGCCTCTTAAACTAGAGGGTAACCCTTAAGTATATGACCAAGCAGCATTCATCTTGGACCTTTCAAAGAGTATAGAGTCTTGTAGCAAACACCTATTTAACACACCTTTGTGAAACAAACCCAGATTGGTTCCAAACCGAGTGCACACACACACAGACCCCCTGAAYGGTCCATGTACTCACCATCACACAGCTGCCCAGGCTGAGGTGCTGCAGCTCCGAGCAGAAGTTCAAAATACTGAGCAGGGCCGTTTGCTGCCACGGGGGAACACATCAGAGGGAAATATGGAAAATGAAACAAAGARAAGAGGTCAATTAGACATTAAAGGCTGTCACCACGTTTCCTGAAATACAGCTCAAAACTCTTTTACAGATRCCTCAAATGCCACTTAATGAGTCTCTGGGTACTTTACCCATTGATTGGCTTAAAGAAATGGTAATCGTTACAAACCTTTATGCRAGTCACTTTGGATGGGGCTCTGTAGTGCCTTGAAGATACCTCCACACCACTGACCTATCCGCTCATTTCCCACAGGAGAGCTGATGAAGAAGTGTGGCAAGATCAAATAACAGGCGAGGCCAGCCTGCAAACACAGAGGGCTGGTGACACTCCAGAGAGAGAGGGCAGGCTCTGACATTCGCCCATCAGCTGCAGCCTGATGGAACTGCCAATAGAGCTGCAGAGCATCAGGGCTGGGCYGGTGACTTTAATGTCAAAGGAGGCTCTGTGCTGACAAGGATGCTGACAGCCATTGAGCACTTGTCACTACTGTCATGCAGACTGAAACAGATACAATGTGTATTTTACAGTCCTGTTCCTGCCATTTAATGTGGCTGTTCTTTGCAGAAAGTACTTCACATTGCTCAGCTTGAAATTGGACTGCAACATCAGACTGTTCCACAACAAAGGAAACTTCACCGATTTTTACYTGGGTTTCTAAGATACAGAAAAGACTCTTCTGCGTTGTCTGTAGCTACATTTTGTTTTGTAGTTGGAAACACACAGAGTGTGAAAAAAGTATAATCTGGGATTCACATCACAAATAGCTGTGCATCATACTTAAAACATCACTTCGTTAGGACTTTGTAATCTATATGAGCTTTAAAACAGGACTAGGCTTCACAATTATTACTAACAATAAAAATATGTGGATTTCTACAGGATATACAATGGTTTCTAAGGGAAAAAAGCAATATATAAGTGACAAAATAACCTGTTATTAAACGTAATTATAAGAATACTAGTCAACAATGTTTGTATTTACTGGTGGAATAATTTATCGTTTCTTTAAATATAAATTTACTTGTTTTCAGAAAGTTTAAAGTTAAATGCTTTAGTTTCCTCAATTTATTACATTCCAATGAAACTTGGCAGAAATATGATCTCTTGCCATATCACCCGGAACAATCATATCATCTGATTCCTTGCACTGAAAGACTGGCAAACACAGAACAAGGACATAGCGTGGGGTATTTACAGAGACCACTTCAGATATTTAACCTAGGTGTCTTCAAGGAGCAATTATAAATACCCAACCATTTGACATGTATGGAATCTTGAWTCCAACTTGGCCTTCTAAGATCTGATTTCCCAAAGGCAGCCTAAAAGTAGATGCTGAACGTTAGCCTTCCACACATGTATTTTGGCAGCAGTCCTACCAAGTCACTGTCCCCTTGCTTGCTTCACTTTCATTCATGTTTTGAAAGGAAAATGTAGCTAGGGAATGAAATACAAGCATTACAAAATCATTATTAAAGAAGTTGTTAAGAATATTTAAAGGTTGGTAAATGTTTAAATATCCAATTCATTTTAAACTGCGCACTTAAAAAGCAAATACTTCATTTGGATCATTAAAGAATAAACAAATAAAGAGAATGAGGCTTTTCCTATTCAACTCAGTGAAAGCTATGAGCTTTAGAACCTACTCAGATGCACAAATTAAAAGCAAAATCCCCAAAACCCTGTCTGCAAACCTTAAACATCAGAGCTAAACAAGTCAGTCTCTGACTGGACACAGAGCTCCAAACAAGGTTTCTGCAGGTATTCAGATAACTCCACAGGAAAGCTGAATACATTGCTGCATTCCACCAAGTTTTTTAGTAATGGTTTCCAGAATGGAATTTAAACACTGGCCTGAAAGGATGGGAAACTACAATCTCTTTCCTTATTTGACACAAACAGTACAAAAATGAACAGTCACTTTGAACATCTTATAGGATGTGAGATCCCTCTTTCTTTTGAGAGGGGTGAAATGGAAGGAAGACTAGTATTCATAGTTACATTAATAGATAAGTGAGTTCCTTGTATTAACTTCAACAGGAATGTCATGGATCTCTCAGAGTACCTTTTTAGTCCCTCTCTTTTTTAAGACAGTCCTTCCTGTACTGGCACACGCTAAGTCAAAGGTCTTTTCACAATTGTTAATTTTAAACCATTATTTAAAAAAACAAAACAACTTTTTAAAAAGCACTAGAAATCTGAGTAATAGAAAGCAGCTTGGTAGAACACCATGTCATACCATCACAAATCATGCCAAGTCAAGCCCAAGAGTAAACAACTACATACTCAACATTCATTACACTGGCTATATTAATTCCTCTTCTGGGGCGCATACATGCCCACACACACCAAACCAGATTTCCTTCAGACGCAGTGTCTGTTCTTCTGTAACTGAGGTGGGCTTTGCATATGTCATGTAAGAAGAAAAAAACCCCTTTGTGCATGCCTAGCTGTGTCTCAGTTGAAAACCCAGGTGGCAAAAGACAAGAAAATAGCAGGAGAGAATGGCAGCTCACAGAAGCCATATGCACTACATATAGAAGGACTATCATTGTAATAACCTGTCTGTGTCAAGCCATCTGTCAGGACAACAACATGAGCGACAACACTCCTACTTAAGCAAAGGAGAACAGCAAGGCAATCACCCCATCCTGGAGCTGTAACACAGGCCAACTTTCAAATGTCAGAGTGCTTTGCAAGAGCAGCTAGGAGGCCACCTCAACTCTGGAGTCTAATTTCACTTTCTCACCCAAGAGACAGTCAAATCAAAGACTATCCATCTAACATTTTTCAGCCTAGCAGCCAAAACATGTATAGTTGGGAGATTTTTTGAGTTTCCCCTGAACCAAAGGCAAAGTTTATCTTCGTACTTACTCCTTTTCACAGGGATTGAGAGAAAAAAACACTCTGGAAACAAACTTTTCGTTTGCTTTGTGGAATCATGGCTTCAGTGGTATAAATTTCTTTTGCCATCCAAGCCAGAAAACAAAACCTAACAAAATAATAATTTTTTATAAGATGCCACAGACAACAGGAGAAGTTCAAAGTGGGCAAATAAAATGGTTTGCCCCATCCTCCATTCCCAGGGATGATTTTTTTAGATGAGGAAAACACACAGTGAAGAAGTTGCTTTCAGAGAGGACTTTGACGTCAAACYGATCAGAAGGATATGACAGTGCTGCTAAACACAACATTACAGAGCAGATTTCAGAAATATTTTAGRGCATAGTAGTTAGTCATAAAACTCAGAAAAAGGGAAGACAGCCTGAAAATTCTCTGAAATCTTTATGTACGGGTAGAACAAATGTCTGTCAGAAAGGACATAAACAGAGCTGATCCTGGCTTGAACAAGAGATTACCACCTGAAATCCTACTCTGCTCCACACAAGCCACTTGGCAGGTCTTCCCAAACATCAAAGTCCTCCATTCCTTAATACATGCCTGGATACATACAACAGTACTTACTGGAAGACAGTTATGTGCTGTGTATATTTCAAATAAACAGCTGATACTGGACTAAATTSTATCTYATCCAGCACACCACAGGTGTKGAGAACCAGCAGAGACAAGTGGAGACACTCYACTTAGACAAAACACATGAGAAGTCTGAATCACATCTTTCTGCATGCAGGCACAAAGATGATACAGAAATTAACAACTTAACATGCCAAACAGGTTAACAACTCTTTGAAATAAAAATAGAAAAGATCTGCCAGGTTATCGTAATTAAAACCAAACCTCTCCAGGCTGAGCATATACCCCACAGTGAAACAAAAAGCTGATTATCAAGTCAATGGAAAAGAAGAAGGAAACCACCACTTGCTTTAAGAAAATTATAATCAMGTTCCTGGCAAATCAAGAAGAAAAGTCAAGTGTGTGGTACTTACCACTTGACATTGAGATAATTGACCCACACAGGTTATTTATTGGATCAARTAATCTGGACCCCCTTTGAATCTGATTCCCCTCTTTGTACTACAAATTGATGTTTACAACTTTTGCAAAAATACTTCAGATATTGAATCAAATTAATTTAATTTCAGGGGGAAAAATTGAGATGTTTGAGTAAATGTTAATTCTGCTTTAGGACTTCCAGAAATACCTTAGTGAAGAGCAGCTGCTCTGTGGTCCTGCATGTAAAGAAGAGAAAAAGAATCCTGATRGCAATGCATCACTGGATTAGTGTTTTAAGGCTACAGCTACTATTATATATGACTGAGGCATCTTKGGAACAGCAATTTTTTTTCCACATGTAAAACTGGATAAAAGGAGCTTTAAACAAGATTCCTTGAAAAAGAAAGAAAACAACCACCAGTACTCCTCCACAAATAACAGAGCTCAACAACAGGGAGAAAACTCTTCCCTGAAATTTTGACCTTTCATAGCAAAAATACTGCAGAAACACAATTATTTGTTATTAAATTAAACTATATTTTCAAATAGTTGATGTACAGTCTACCTTAAGCCAGTGAAGTAGTATTTCACACCAAAAAAAGCTTTAGCATACGAGAACTACTTGGGTAAAAACCCTGACCAAACAAAAAAATTCCCAGAAGAAACCAGTTTTATTTCAATCTGAGTGCCACTACTGCTATAAATATTTGCAATTAYAAACATCTCATGCAAATGTAAAAGATAATCTTGTTAAGACTGTCAAAAGTAATTAAAAATCTACAAAAACTCACAATACTTATTTTTTCCTCCCTTTGGCATTATACTGCACTAGAAGAAAGCCAAAAATCAACTGTTTGGGTGAGGGGATTTTCTTGGCACAGTCTGTGAAAGAACTAAGTCGGAAATTACTTGGCATCTGCTATTCTACCACAATGATTAAAAACCTCATTGGATGCAAAGCCAGAACTCCGTAAACTTCTATTAAACCATGCCTTTTGGAAGGTACAACAGGGCAAACCAATAGAGCCTGTAAGAAAAAAAAGGTATCATACTTCCACATCTTAAAAGCTACAGTCATGCT